TTTTATATTTTATGCAAATGATAAATGATGTAGCCTGATGGTGTAAAAAACTAACTATATAGTAGCAGAAATGAGAGAACCAATGTAAGTATACAACAACAGTCAAGAGTCAAAGACTTATTAAAGCGAGAGCAGTTTGTGTCGTATGGTCTTATCTTATCTAGGCGTGATGGTGGGAGTTGCTCCACTAATAAGGTCACTACTAGAAACATATGAGGATATGTACAGATTCTTCACCATAGAGGATGACGAAGGTGGAGTAGTAGATGTTGTTTCTGGGTCACCTTCCATGGATTCTACTAGCGAGGGGTCAGAGTACCTTGGAATCATCAGCCCTATAGTTTCTAGAGTTCGGACCACCTCTGCCATGGAAGGTCTTGAATCTGTCTCATCTTGGCAACATTTCATGGCCAAATTCACAAACTTCTCCACACATTCAGAAGGATATGAACCCATTCTTACATCAAGAACCGAAAATATTGTACCAGATTGATACGCAATGTTAACCTGGTGTGTGTGTGTGTGCGTGTGAGAGAGAGAGAGAGCAAAAATGTTCAATTGGTCTAAAAGTGATGAAAGACAATTAATTTCAAGCAAAAACGGAGAAGGAAAGCTATATATTACCTCTCGAACAAGGTTTTTGCCATGTGAAATTGGTTGCATCCCTGTTAAAAGCTCTAAAAACACAACACCAAGGCTATATACATCACTCTTGTCTGTTAACTTATGCGTTAGGAAATACTCTGGATCAAGGTAACCCTACATTTTAGGTACAAAATATTCAAATAATAAGATACCATACTAGCAATAAATAGTCATGAACCAATGTTGATTGTCATATATTAGTAAATATAGTATTTGAATTCCATCTCTTTTATTGCAGATATTAAAAAAATGGATTTTTCTAACTGTAAGGTTGTAATTATTACACTTTTTTCTCATTAATTACTATTGAAAAAATAAAATTTAATCTTTATTTAAGTAATTGTTTAATTAAAATGATCCACATGACACTAATGACAAAATCAATGACAGCTTTTGTATTTTTTTAATAATAATTAATGTAAAAAGAGTGTAATAATTACACTCTTAATTTGTACCTTAAGGATGCAAGTTAGACAAATCCTAAAAACATAAATATATAGAAGCTTCTAATTTAATTTCATTCAAGTAAAACACTTACTGGAGTCCCTTTTACAACAGTAGACACATACGTAGGTGTTGCACCTTCAATATCTGGCACCGGAGCAATTCGTGAAAGTCCAAAATCGGCAACCTTTGCGACAAATTTAGAATCCAATAATATGTTGCTGGCCTTGATATCTCGATGAAATATAGGAGGGTCAGCTTCTGTGTGTAGGTAGAGGATTCCCTTGGATGAACCAAGAGCTATTCTCAACCTCCTTGCGAAACTCAGAGGCTTTTTAATCTTTCCTGCACGCGGTACCATACACATAAGACATCATACTAAGGACCACAATATTTGCATATAGAATTAAAAATTGTCATTTTGCATTTCTTGAATTCAAAGGTTTACCTGAAAGATGATATTGCAGAGTGCCATTAGACATATATTCATATACCAACATCTGTTGACAGCAATGGTTGGATGTGATAATAAATTTCAATTAACAAATGACAGTAGGCATGAAATTCTATCCACATACTAAGTTGGTTAGTCAAATTGCTTCCTCAGTGAGGGCTCATCTCTCCAATATTTTATCATAGTTAGGCTAATAAAACATTGAAACTACATCTTTTGTCCCTTCATCTGTTTGTTTCTTAAACCATTTATGGGTAGGGTAGGGAAAAAATACAACACCATATTAATTAAAATTTTTAAAAGACATAAGATAAAGTACCTGTTCACCTTCTTCATCACAATAACCAACCAAAGAAACAAGGTTTCGATGATGTAACCTTGACAACAGTTGTATTTCAGTTAGGAACTCCTTTTCACCCTGCAATGACCCTTGTTGTGCACGTTTTATGGCCACAATCGTGCTATCAACCAGAGTGCCTCTATAAACCTTTCCATATCCACCTTGGCCAATTTGAGCTTGGAAATCAAAATTGTTTGTTGCTAAGGCCAATTCTCCATAAGTGAAACTCTTGACACCATCAATTTTTAACAAGGCTCTAGATGCTGTACAAGAAAACATGTCTCTAAATGTTTGAACAAAACTAAGAGCTGTTAAAAGAATGTGCTATTTTCTTTTTTCTTTTTTCTTTCTTGAAAAAAAGTCTAAGAGATGAATAGGATATATTTGGATAAAACGAAGTGTTTCCCAATCACTCAAACCCAAAACAATTCTAAAGCAAGATGAATAATTGAACAGAGGCCTAAAAAAGCATGACTTCTTTCTCAGTATTTAAGTAACAACCACCTAAATAAGATGCAATTCCATTCACTATTTTGTAGGATAAATGAAAATGAAACTAGTAGAGTGACCATGTGATTAATGAACAAAAATTATAAGAGCATCAAAATTTATCTGTGTACAAAAATAACACTATATGTAATATTTGAAAGGAAAATTAATTTTCATAGACAATCAATCTGGAAAGAAGTATAGTAAATGAAAACATAATATATACAATCTATCAACTTACACACCCTATCATCAAAACATTAAGATACTCACCTTGACGTCGTTTTGAAATTGCATGGTAGCCCTTCAGTCGCCTTCTGATGATAATAAATGAAATAATTGCAGATAATGTAATTGCACCAACAAAGGTCCCTAATATAATGCCAACCAATGCACCTTTACTTATCCTCACGAATGAAGAGGATTTTTCTGAAACATTATATGAAAATATAAGGATTTTTCTATTAAAAAAAACAAAAAGAAAAAAAGTTATGGGTAAATATTCTTAGGGTAGGAGATGAAGTTGTGGTGTAAACCACCCTTATAAACACCTGGCAAAGGGAAGTTCTTAAGTTCAGAAGGTCCAAGTCTATCATCAACAGGGATCTTGTATTGAATGAACGTGTTCCTGATTCGTTGAACTTCACTTGCATTGAATGAATGACAATTGTTGGTAGCGTTATCATAAACAGGATAAAGGCTTAAGTTCATCCACAATCGTCGT